AAAAGTAAGAGCAAAGCATAAAGAAGTGAACACATGTTGCAAGTAACTGTAAAATATACTTTGAAGTACTGGGAAAACTCATTTACCAAGGCTCCTGGATTTCTGTTTTCATTGAGTCAACAAAATAACAGCCTAAATTACTGTGAAAGTAAGTTTTAAAGGCTATTTACCACATTTCCTTTGCAATCGTTCATTTTCAATGGAAAATTGCATTGTTTGTTCTGTAAACTTGTGGGATCAACTGCAAATAATATAAATCATGCAAGAGACAAGGAGGTTGAATTCCCAGCCTTCAAAACGGTGGAATTATCCAAATTGTTGATGAAAGGGAACCATATACAAACAACCTGTCACCAGGAAACCTCATCTTTTCCCATCATTTTAGACCTTACATTTCTGATTCTGTGAAATATCCTGGTGAGTCCACATAAACAGAAGCTATTTCATAAATACCTATATGATGCTTCTTCTTTGGGTAAAAAGGGGAAAATGAGAACAAGCTGTATCTATTTCTGCCTACCGGGAAAGCACTCGGACACTGGCGGTGGGAAAGTGAATTGCGTACAGTTCTTTTCCCCTTCCATCACCATTACCAATCTATTGACTACGCTAAAAAAGAGAACCTAAAAGCCCTCCTCTAGCACTCATGACATCAAGCAGTGCGGCACGGGAGCTTCACCTGCCGCGAGGGAACAAGACAGTACACATGACGACGGCAGGGTAACTCAGCCCGCCGCACGCAGCGAGCCGGGGCCCGGCAATCCTCCCGCGCCCACCCGCTGCCCCTCGCAGCTCGCACCCGGAACGGCGGGCCCCAAGCGAGCCCAGGGGACGAGAGCCAGCGCTGCCAGGTCCGGCCGACCACGCTCCGGCCGGGAGGGCACGGGAGAAGCGCGGCGGACCCCCGGGGAGCAGCGCGGACAGGGCGGGGCGCCGCGGCCCGGCGGGGCAGGTGCCACCCGCCCGGCCCGCGGGCGTCCGGCCGCCGCCGTGAGGGGCGGCCCCGGCGGCGAGGAGGGGAAGGCCGGGCCGCCTCCTCACTCCGCGGCGCGCCGGGCGGCCGCAGCCCGCGGAGGGCGGCGAGTCCCAGCGGAGCGGCCGAGCCGCCTCCCCGCCCGCCTTACCGGCATCTCCGCCGCGCGGACGTGACGAGCCCCGCCCGGAAGTGCAGCGCACCGCCCGGGGGCGCGCGCGGCCCGCCAGCTCGCGCTGAGCGCGGGGCGGGGCGGCGCTTCCGCCCGGCCTTCCGTCGCTTCCGCCCGGAGCCGGCCCGGCACTGCCCTCGTCCCCACAGACAGAGGGGAACGGCTCTGTGCTTGGGCTTTCCCCGGTTCTGTTGGGATCATTACCAGTGATGCCTCAGAGTTTTTGATTTTTTTAGCTTTTGTGGATTTTAGAAGTAATGGTGTAGTAAATGTAGATTTTAATATAGCTGTATTATATACCTTACCCTTAAGATAATAATTACACGTACCCAACCCTATTACCCCATTTCTTATAAGTCCCTCTAAAGTCTGGTGCGTGTTTAGTCTTCTTTTCAAGGTAGAATTGCAAAAAAACACCCTAGGCCTGGATCAGGAGATATCACACAGACACAGCGACCTTCAAGCCCAGAACTTTAGAGGAGCTCCAAGGAGTGTACATGCTGTGAAGAAGATAAAGATGAGGAAGAAGGGGTCCCAAAGACCCCAGACCCAATTCCCGAAGGGGCATGTCAGGGGGCAGAACTGGGCAGAACCAGGGGTGGACAAATCTGGGATTGACGGACCTTATTACAAAATCGTAGAACTGCTGTCTGGGTGCACGTGCGTCATCTGTATTCCCTGGGCCTGTAGGCTGATTAAAGGACCTACTCTCTTTATCTCATACACTAAATTGGCCTGGAGTCTTTTTTCCTCTGCGCTCTCTTAAGGCAACACGAGGGCTGCAGGCTTCAGCTGCAGCCTGATTCCTCTTCAAATACCCTTTTTTGTATGGAGAGTTATTGTACAGGTGAAGATCATGCAGGAAGCTTATGGTCAACCTTCAGCTCCTCTTTTCTTCCACATAAATCAACACGGAAGACACATTAGTCCAGTTATAGCACATGTGGAAACACAGGTTTCCTACTAGCACTTGGTTTCTGTTTCTGCTTTGCTCTGACTTTCTGCTGTGTCCGTTCTTGTAGTTGGTAATGGAAAACTCCAGAGTTCACAGCAGCTCACTAATGACACATCCCAAGTTGGTAATTCCAGAAACATACATGTCTTTGAAATGTACCTAAAAACCAAGAAGGGACTGACTAATTTAAAACACTTGCACTTTGGTTTTAGCTCATCAGCCTTATTTTGGTATCTGTAAGTACGCAGGACAGAGCACCTGAAGATGTTGGCAGCCTCTGGTCTTGACGTTATCTGCTGAACCAGTGACCTTCAGGTCCAGTAAACTTTAACTTTGCTATGGCTAGCCTATATCTTTGGAGCCACGTGTGATTCCTGGCTCCCATGCCAAAACAGCTGCTCGTGGCACAGTGCTGGTGCTGCTAAGCACTGAGAATCCTGGTGATAGCGAAGTAACCCAACAGGGACTGTTGAGGCTGGCAAAACGTGGTTTCCTGAGGCTCCCTAGGAGCATAGCCCGTTCTGATCCATGATGGACTATGCAAAAACCTGCAGCCACTTCCTGGTAAATGACTGTAATCTCCTGCCTGTGAACTGCTTTGGAATGGTTTCCTCTCCCCAGCCCCTCCAGGATGTGCGGTATGGCTGCACTGCCTTTCAGAAAATTTTGATTTGTAGCTTAAAGATTCATACATGTAGTGTGGGTAGCTTGGTGTGCAGCTGCAGTGTGAGCTGCAGTGTGAGCTACAGTGTGAGCTCTGGGGGGCTGGAGCCTGAGCCTGAAGCCATGAACTGCTGACCCTTTGCACAACAAAGGGCTCAGGGACCTGCGGCCCAGCCAGGTGACGAGACACTCAGAGACACAGCAGGAGCAGAGGACCCCCAGACTCTTCCTTTGTTCAGGGTTCCAGCTTGAGCTGTTATTTTGTTATTTAGTTATTGCACCAAGATTAAATTATTTTAAAGATCTGGATGTCTGAGACTCTGCTATGGGAAACCTGGTCTGAGTGTGAGTGTGGTGTGTGAGGGGAGTCAGGCCCGGCACCCGTGGGCTCGCTGGAGACGCCTGCTGTGAAGGCCTTTAGGTCCCAGCTCAGGTGGTGCATGTGTTACTGCCAGAGTAGCTCCTGGATGTTGTCCAGGAAAGTTTCCTTAACGTTTATTATCACAGGTATGATCCCAGCATGCCACATTTGTTGATCCAATACAATTCAACAAAGGTAACCAGAAATGCAGAACTACTAAATTCATAAACCAATTTTTCTTGATGCCATTTTGGTAATTCCAGGACACTGAATCGTAAAGCTTGATTCTGTTTTACATTAAGATCCTCAGTAATCTCGGAAGTCCTTTGACTCATCATCAGCTCAACAATGTGGAATTGTTGAGTAGATATTAAAATACAGAGACATGTAGGCGCATCAGTTCCTTTCATTTGCATTGTTCTAGGCCAGATGAGTTTGGCTGCTTCAGAACTTGCTTCTTGACTGCCTGGGGAATTTTGGTGGAATCTGCAGAGGGAGTAGCACAGCACTTACCTGAGTTGTTCGTGGTGGTACAAATCACTTGTGCAGGTGTGTGAAGCAGCACTGCTCCCTGATGGGAGAACTGTCTGGCTGGGAATTTCCTACAGTCTCACTTTCTCATTAACATCTGCCTCTCCATAATCCTTCTCTCTAATCAAGGACAAATGGAAGACTCAGTCGCATTTGCTCCATGACCAAATTCAAGTGAAGATAAATGATACTTTTTTTTCACCCTTGCTGTGAGACAGTGAAAATGGCTAGTCATGGAGTAAGGGGAGAGTGGTGTTTTAGATTTGGTTATTGATGAATCTGGTTATAATGGGGCCCTACTCTGAATATAAAGAGGAGTCTAGGCTTTATTTCTCTTAGCACATCTTCTTGTTCTTTCATGTGTACATTTCTATACACTCAGATATAATGTTGTTATACAAACTCATGTCCATTATTCCAAGATTATTATTAAACTTGCATGTACAATTGCAATTACCATCACTTTCATGTTCAGCCTTTCCAGCATCAGCACGTAACAGACTTTTAAATTCTCCCAAAGTCTGTATGCACAGGAAAAATTACCTTTCCACGCTTACAGCGGATGTTGGCACGGGTGTTACAAAGCGGCTGAGATGTAAGAAGCTGAGCCCACCAAGATCTGGAGCATTTCCTCCTGTTTCCCCTGGGGCTCGCACCCCGCTCTGTCACATGTCGGACTCCGCCGCGCTCCGCCTTTCCTGCGTAGTCAGCGCGTTTCCCGCGGCGGCAGCAGAATACTGCTGAGGTAATTTCGCTGGCTGAAAAGCGTACGTGAGGTCCCATACGGGCCTCCGCGCCGCGGCCACCACACACCCTTCCCAAGTTTTCCTAAACACCAGGCGCGAGGGGTAGGGGGGCCCGGCGGGGGACGTCCCGCGCCTGTCCCCCCCCGGCAGCGCCCGTGGAGCCCGCAAGGAATCTGGTCCCAAAGCCGCGCCCCGGGCAGGAGGCTCCGCCGCACTGCGTTGGGAGTGGCGGGAGGGGGGGGGCGGGGGGCCGCGCCGGCGGCACGGGGGGTGACCGGCCAACGTCCCCCGCGGGGCGGGCACGTCGGCCCCGCCTCCCGGCCCACCGCCGGCACCTTCCATTTCCTCCGCGGGGGGAGCCTTCCTCCGTCCGCTGCAGCGGCTCCCGCCGCCCCGCAAGAACAGAGCGCCGTGACGCCGATGTCTTCCCTCAAAATCTTGCTCTGGGGTGGCTGGACCGGGCCACCTCTCCCCGCCGCGCCGCGCGGTGGTAGCTCCCGGTCTGCTCCCCCGTCCCCCCCCCGGCGGCGGCGCGGGTGGTGCATCCCGGTAGCAGGCGCGTCCCGGCTGGCGCCCGCCCCCCCCGCGCCGTGTCATTGATGTTGTTGTTTGTGTCGCAGGAGCCGCAGGCCAGGCCGGGGCCGCCGCCCGGGGCCGCCGCCGCGGGGCTGGGGCCGGCGCCAGGCATGTCGGTGTGCGGGGAGGCGGTGGGCGCCGGCTCCCTGCCCAGCGAGCTGGTGGTCCACATATTCTCCTTCCTGACGGCCCCCGACCGGCTGCGGGCCTCGGCCGCCTGCTCGCACTGGCGGGAGTGCCTCTTCTACCCGGCGCTCTGGCCGCGCCTCCGCCTCAGTCTCCGCGTCTCGCCCGCCGAGCGCCCGCGCCTCGAGTTCCTCATGCGCAAGTGCGGCTGGTTCGTCCGTGAGCTCCGCGTACAGTTCGCCGCCGACAACTACCCCACGGGCGGCGGCGGAGGGGGGGCGGCGGCGGGCGAGGGCGCCGCGGTGGCGGGGGACGGGGAGGCGCCGCCGCCGCCGCTGAGCCCGCGCTGGCTCGACCTGCTGAGGACTTATCTGGAGCTGGTGCTGTGCGTCCTGAGCAGCGTCCGAAACAACAGGTACCTCCGCGCAGCGGGGCGGGGGGCAGGCGGAGCCCCCCGGGCCGCGCAGGGCCGGTTCCGCCGGGTTCTGCGGTCGGAAACAGCGCCCGAGCCGGCGGCGGCCGGTTCGTGCCGGGGCTGCGGCCGGAGCCGTGCTCTGCGGTGTTGGGCAGGAACGGGGCCGCGCCGCTCGGAAATAACAAATTTTCATCATATAGTGTAGTTTGGTGGGGAATATAAACATATAAACGCTCAGACGTCCAGCTGGCGATCAGGTGGTCAGTACGCAGAACTGACATAGCTACAGTAATAAAAAGTTCTTCGTCCTTTGGATGGAAAGGGGGGAATGCGGCTCCAGCGGAGCGAGTGAGAGCCGGGAGTTTGATTCCGGTGCCTAACAAAGGCACCTTTCTCACTTAAAATAGAGCTACAGACAGGGTTTAGGTCTTATGCGTGCTTGAAAAAAATTGTCACGAGAAATTAGTAAGGGGGGGATGTTAAAATCACATCACTGGTATACTGAGTTACTGCCCCAATAAAATGCTTTCACCTTTCTAGCTGTGAGATTTTTTGCCGTAGAAAAGCTAAGCTTTCATTCCAGCGCTCGCGTTACCTGCTAAACTGAGGTTTGACTCGGTTTTAACTGGGAGGAGGTTTTTATGTTTGTTTGTTTATTAAAAGAAGGCTTCACACGTAGGACTTTCTTGGCCAAGTTGAATTTAAATGATAGAAATATCTTCCTGTGGTTTGTACTTAAGATGCGCGTAGATCCTGCTTTTTCACAATTTACTTTGGCAGGTTAGATAATTTCCTCAGCTTTGAGGTCTTTTAAAATGAAAATACTTGCATTCTCTTTACCATGTGTGGGTGTGATCGAGATAAATCTCTCTTTTAAAGATAATAATCAGATACCCTAATATACGGCCTGTAGTCAGCACCTAGGACAGGAAAGCGAGGGTATTACAATTAGGCTATGATGAGTTTGGAAAGCCATGCAGATTTTAGGATAGGAAATGGTTGATATTATTTCTTCTCTGTGTGCATTTGCTTTACCTGTGACGGGGGGGGGAAACTGCAGGTGTTTCAGGACATCCTTAGGATGAATTAAACCTTGTGGATGGCCTTCAGAAAACTGTCTGCAACTGAGTCATGGGCTTGTCACTGCCCCTCTTTAATTCTGGGGAGATTAGAGAGTAGCTTGAGGCCTCCCTTGCTTCTTTATTTTGAATTGTAGCAAGAGAACTTTAAATGCAATTCCTCGTTGGTTTGAGATGAATGCAAATGTGGTGTGTGAAGTCTCACTTTCAGTTCCTCTGCTCTCTTGCACCCAGCAGGTACTTCCTGTGGTGCAGCCCCGGTGGTTGAGAGTTACAGACCTTACTTCTGAAAACACCTCGTTAGTCCCAGCTCACCTTTATCTTAATTTATTTCTTGCCCTGTGAATCTTTGGTGTGCGAATCCTATTGGTCTCTCTTGATTGGTCTTCTCTTGCCTTTCAGGAGCTTTCACTTAACTGTTGAATCTTCAGGAAATACTGCTAGTATTATAAGTGGAAAAAATACTGAAATGATGGCGGCAATTATCCGATCTGAGACAAATACCACTACACGGGCTTGGAATTTTAAAATAGATAGCATCCGCAGGAGATGTTGCCTCGAGGGGGTTGTTGAAAAACTACATAGGTTTTTTCCCTCACTAAAGTAAGAGGCTGTCAAAATTAAAAGCATTGTGAGAAGGCTTTTGGTACACTTTTGAAAAAAGATTCATTCTCCATCGCCTTATCTGAAATCTGTACAAGGACATTTGCTTTATGAAGTTCATTTCACAGATTCTGTGTGCACAGTGTAACTCAGGACTGCAGTAAAATACCACACATAAGTAGTTGTTTCTCCAGTACCTGGTAGATTAGTATAATTTTGGTGGTAAGCCAGAGGTGAAAAGTTACCAAGTTGGATAGAATTTTGCATTGCTGTACTTTCTTGCTGTCTCCAAATCATTTACATGCTGCTCTTTTGTTTTGAAATGAATAATGCATGATTGGGGAACACAGGGTACCTGGTTATAACATTAGGCTTTTTTTAAATGAGCTTTTTAAAATGTGTGTGTGCGCGTGGGATTTACATTAAACATTTGGCCTTTTTTTCAGATTTAGTTTCAGATTAGACTTTTTTCCCCCTTCGAATTGTTTAGTTTTTTTTTCTTGCAGAATAATTACCAATAGCTATTTAGCTGGCATGTAGAACACTGGGGTTTAGTTCTTTAAGTAGATTTTTGAGATTGAAATGAGTTGGGAAGGAGCATGAACTCGTGCCAAATTGCTGCTTGGTTCTTACTGTGACCACCTAATGTCTAAACTGGAGGCATTGTTACCTGCCTTATGCTTTGTTTTGTCTAAGGAAGGACTGCAGTCCATTCACTTAATTTCTCTGCTTCTCTTTATTTATCTGTAACTCAAGGATAATGAATAATTCCTTCTTGTTTTTGCTATATGTCACTGTACATGGGATAGCTATTGTAATTTCCAAAACAATGGAAACAGCAGGGCTTTTAACTTCTCCAGTGGCTGAATCACTGTAAATGTATTCCTTTTGTAATTAAGTTTAGAACAGGACAGTTCTCTCGTTACTCCTGACAGCTTTTTGAGAAGTTCACAAGAGTTTCCATCTTATACTTCAGAACTGGAGAGGGAAAAATCTACTTTTATGATGCTGTTTCTTAACTGTGTAACGTTGTTGTGGAGTTTTAAATTTATTATTAAGCAATACAGTAACAACCCTCCTTGCAAGAAAAAACATGTACTTTAGATGGCTCTGGAATTCCTTGAGGATCTACAATATTGCAGGACCTAAGAAAAGTAATGACTAAAAGTAATGCAGTTTCTAAATGCTCTCTTGGCTAGAGGAGTGTGGGTTTGCCACTAAAAGCATTTTCTGTACAACACAAAATTGCTGATTTTTAAGCAAATCTGTGTGTTAAGAAAAATATAGAAAAATAGAAATATTTTTATAAAGTACAAAAAAATACAAAAATATTTTGGATTGACCTTTGCTAATTCTGAGGGAATTAAGGAAATAACTTGTCCACAACTTGGTTTGAAAAAGACTGATAGTATTTTCTAACAAATATTCCTGCTGGCAGCCAGTGTTACCATCCAGAAAGGTATGTTCTAGGTCTGTCTCATATTTGAGGCAGAACTCAAGTTGCCATAAACTTTATTTTGTGTGTGGCAGCAAATTACTCCCAAAATATTGCTTTAATAGCATTGGGGCCTTGATGAGCTCTGAAAATCTGTCATTTATTTAATTAAAAGGTACCAAAGTAGCATTTATAGTGATCTGTATAACTCTTCCATGAGTTATGTTTATGACTGTAATTGAAGGAAAATAACAGTGTATTACTGTTTAAACAGATGATGTTCTACTTATTATTAAAAAAAAAAGCTGTGGGTGGGCATGATGATGTTGTTTCTTAGATCCTCGTGGTCTGCACCTTCTCAAACTGATCTTTTAAAACTAAGTTCTGGAAGGCAGGTGGGAGGGAGACGAACTTTGTGTGAGTCACTTGAGTACGTACAGCAGCTAATAAGCAACTGGTGATCATTCAGTAGGAAAATCCTGTGTTCTTTTATGTAACTCTGAATCCCAAAGCATAGTCTCTCCTACTCCTCCTTCCTTGCTTACAAAGGTAGATAGGGAAATAGTGACACACACCTCCCCCCCCATCTCCTCTGCAATATGTTAAATTGTGTGTCTTGTTTGATCTTTGCTGTGGAAACATAAATGCAGATTACTGTAAAACTGTGGTATCTTGATGAAGTATGGTATCTATCTTGGAGTTGCCAAATATTGGTGAATCGCTCAAAACAGTAGACTGCACCTGAATTTAAGGTTTTCTAACTACTCTCTTCTATTGATCTGACCAGGTAGCTGGAACTGGCAGAAACTGGTATAATAATACAGTATATGCCTTACTGCTTTGTTCATCTTAAATGTAAGCAAGTACATTTTGTTCTTTTTTTGATTGGTTATTCAAAAACACCAACCAAAACTGAAGATGTAAGAAGCTTATTACTTCTAGTGCGCTTTTTGAGCTAGTAGAAAATAAATGGTTTAGAAATCCCTCCAAAACACATTTTCCCCCAGCTGTATTTATGAATACTACACAGAATTAAGATACCAAAAGATGACAATTAACTTCTAAATAATTTTATTTAAATGACGATCACTTTACTGACTCTCTGAAACAAAGATGAGTTGTGAGCTGAATGCCATAGAGGTTGTATGACACTGCAAATAGTAGCAAAAATCTAACATTGTGTTGAACTGTGATTAGACTTCTTGATGGTAATAACTGTGCTGTGAGTGGAAAAATAATTGGATATTGTCACTGTTTAAGTTTTCAGGTGGAGAACTTTTCTGTGCGTCTCCGTAGTGTATGAAATGGCAGTCAAATAGATGTAGTAAAAATGTGTGGGATACTATTAATTAGTGTTTCATGTGTCGTGTAGTTTGGTAGTCCTCAAATTAATATCTGCCTATGGTAGCGTTTGCTGGGGGTATGAGTAGCACTAAGCAAGACCTGTGTGTGATATGAATATGCAGGTGGTTCAGAACTGTTCTGAAGATTGCATTTTGCCTCTTAGCTCTCAGAATTAAGTCACTGAGAGCAGAAGATAAAGGCTTAATTATAGCACGGCTGTGAACACTGCTTTTCAGACCAGGTGGAGGTTTCTGATACTTTTCCTGTCACACCAGTCTCTCTCTTACGGCTTTTGAGGAAAGAAGAGTCCAAAATACTCTTGGTGGTGGTGTGATGGTGCCAGTGTTTTAGGTTTCTCTGCCAAGCTTACTCTTTAGTGTGATCAGGCATTGTCTTAGTCAGACTTGTAGAATATTGATCATGTGGTAAAGACTCAGTTTATTTTAGTGTATCATCAGTACAGTAGTCCTGTATTTAAAATAATAAATATTAAATTGTTATAATTTCAGAAAGAGTTGTAAATTCTAGGTATTTTGCTCCACTGTTTGTCAGACTTTATATGAAGTTTGTGGATCTTGCTATTAAGTTGTTGTTCACTAATAGAAGAAGAGTACTAGGTGCAATAGTCGATAGATTTCAGGAAATCAGTGTACTGTTATTGAATACAGAAACTTCAAAACAGGTAAATTATGATTTATGCTAGATACCAGTTACAGACTGCAGTTCAAGTAAAACTCGGCTACCTAATACTTTTTCCCCTGCTCCTTTTGGTAGAATATGAAATTGTGCTGTGGATGAAGTGAACTGTACCAGAGCTTCCCTATACTTTGAGCATTGTAATTGTATTGCATTTTTCTCAAAGCTGATCTGAAATATAAGCATATGATTTGTAAGCCAGAAGAAATAACAATGTATGGTAACTCCCTTAATTGTCAGCTACAGGTTAATTGGCATCCATTGTTTAAGATTAATTTAACTTATGTATCCATTTGTGATGAAACTGGAGTTTCTGCCATGTTAATTATCAATTGTAGACTAGTCCTTGCGCGTTAGGAGTAAATTAATTTACACTATATATAAATAAAAGAAATGTTGACCCAAAACTTAGTCAGCTAAAAAAATAATAATCTTAAAAGCAAACGTCACACAGCTGCTCTAAAACTGCAGTCATATTCATATCTCTTGCATGATCTGTTTTAGGAATAGAAAAGGTGCATGTCCGAAAAATAAGCTGTACTAGGGAAAGGAGAAGTGACTGTCTAGCGTACTGTGTGATGTCCAGCATATACATAGAGGTTCTTCTTTCACTCTTTTTAGGTATCCCTTCTAAAAGTTAAAGCTGTATGTCGTGGTGGACCACTAACCCTCACTGATAGGAAATATTAGAACAGCTTCCCCTACTTTGATATAACAGAAATTAGATACTGATTACGGTGTGGGGAGCTTTTGCTATTCCTGCCTGAGGTTTGTAATGCCTCAGTTGAGGCAGGTTTGGGCTCCTATTTGTAAACCAGCTGATATACATCAGCTGTGGTATGTAAGTATGTAAGTGCTCAGAAAGGGTTCTTTGTGGTTGTGTTCTACATGGGCATTCAACGCGGTGTTAAATGTTAAAAGAAATAAGTATTTGATGTTTTCATCTGTGACACTCAACACACATGTTCCAAGGGTTAAAAATTGCATGAAACCACTGCTAAAAGTTTTCTTTGTGGTGCTGCTGACCTGCTGAAAATATTGTGGTGACTGAAAACCGGCATTTGCTGTTACAGCTGGTTCAGCAGTTCATGTAGTCCTCTTCCCCTTTACACTTCAGTCTCATTTACTGTACTTCCATGCGTGCCTGTATTCTAGGACAGTAGGAAGTTTCCTAGTACAGACTGTGTTCCATATAATAATGGGTTCTTATTGCCTGTATTTGTCTTATCCAGAATGATTTCTCACGTTGTTTTAATTTTGTATACAGATTCCTTTTTATTTTGTTGTTTTGTAGGAACCTCCAGAAGTTAAGTCTTTTTGGGGATATAAGCATTCTGCAGCAACATGGAAGCATATCAAATACATACCTTGGAAAGGTTGACCCAGATGGCAAGAAGATTAAGCAGTAAGTTATATTTGTAAATTATCAAACACAGTAAAATAATAAAAATAGGTAATGGAACACAGATTTTCATTCCTGAAATACAAGACTGAGAAAGCTTTAAGTTTTTTAACAGGATGAGAGTCTAAATTCTTATTTCTGCTATTTACATGAAGTAGTCAGGTTTTGTGGCTGTTCTGGGTTTTTTTCTCCCTTCTCAGCAGGGTGAGAATCTTTTCTTTCCTCTTTTCATTGTGTTCTAGAAATAATATTATGTTAATGGCACAAAGGGAGAGGAGGGGTTGTTACAAGCACCTCTACTATTGCTGTACATGGAAAAAAATTAGAAAAGGAAGTAATTTGTTGTATTGCACAAGAGTCAAAAATATGTTTGTATTTATGTTCTCTTTCAGGTTTACTTGCTAAAACTGATTTCTAGTTGTATCTCAAAACTGGGTTATGTGTTTGCACAATTCCTGGAAGATCACAGCTCACAATGTGCTTGTTTAGTTCAGAGGTGTATTTTAGCTTGCCGTAATTACATTATGGTACAGTCCTTGAATGCTTATAATCAGAATAATTATTTGTTTTTCTTTGGAAAAGGTTAAATACAGTGTAAAAAGCTACTGATTTGTGGAATAAATTACCACAAAGGGAGTAATGCTAACTTAACTATTTTAGCAGTTCTGCTAAAACTTCCTATATAATAAAAACTAAATACTGTAATTTTAGTTTGTGTCAGTTTAAAAATCTTTCTCTCAGTAACTTGAGAGTGGAGTAAGTACAGCCAGTCTAGATCTTTACTAATTTTTGTTTTGAGTGATTTTTAGAACTAGTATAGGTATGTTGTCAGATCAGTGTATGTATGTGAACACAACCGTCAAGTGTTTGGTCCTGACCTAAATTTGCAAGCCAGTGCAAATACAGCTGTGAGTCACATACTGTGTCTTTGTTATCTGTTATGTTTAGAATGCAGAACTCAGAACAATTTGCAGTTCTGTCTAATGTAGGTACTGTAGTGCTGTGTGCAGGTAAAAGGCTGATTCAGTAAAAGCTCTTTTATTTCATATCCTTTGTGAAAATGTAAATATATAACCAAATCTTTGCCAAGGGGCTTGAAGAGAGCCATCCAAGCAGATGTTTACTCAGCTGAGTGCGTGGTTAAATGTTTCTTCAAATTAGTCTGCACGTTTTGGGAGCCATAAAACCTTTCAAACTCATTATTTAACTTGATGTTAGTCTTTTAGGTGAGTATATTGAACTTTGCACATTTTGGAAAGAGCAAATAAATGCTACCTGTTTTTTGTTTGGTTTGTTTTGGTGTTTGTTTTTTGGTTGGTGGGGGTTTTTTGTTTGTTTTTTTTTTTTTTGGCTTTTTGCTAAAATAAAACAATATACTTGGGACCTGCTAGTTCTTGTCTAAATTAAAGATGGCAGTGTTTTATTTGGTTGTCTGAAGTTTATCAGCACTAGCAGCAGATTTACTTCAGAAAGTAAATCTTTATAGCTTCTTAGCCTTGTCTTTTGCACTTGGGGTTTGCACCAGTTAAGTTGCAAATCATGGATGCTGATAACTAACAGTGAAAGATATGAGCAACCTTTGAAGACAGTGCTATTGGTAGTTGAGGATTTTTGGAACCTGTATGGTGATAAACTTTACTAGCTGTTTCAGGAACTCCCTGCAATTAAAGCAGTAAGGGAAGAAAATGTGATGTTTCCTTAAATCTTTTGCATTGATCTGGGTGTAACAGACTGTGGGTGAAATCTCAGCTATCACAGAACCAGTAGGATGTTTCCCCAGGTTAAGACTAAGGGTTGTCCTGAGGCAGAGGAAGCTTTGGATTGTGTTTTCAAAAATACTTTTGCGGTGATCAGTATGAGTTTGTAATGCTTGTTCTTTTTCTGTATAGCATGCGTATCCCCTGGTTACTTCCTAAAATTCTCTTCATAACTCTGTTCCTTAGTGTTGGGAAACTCAGTGTAAACATTAAATTTGTCTTGAGTTGAACAAAGGGTAGTTGTTTAAAATTTTGGCTTTCTGAAATCTGCTTCTCATGATTGATCTCTATGGTTCAGGTAGTTTGGTTTCCAAAAGAACCAGTTTAGCCTCTGTTAAAAAAAACCAAGTTTTGAATGCTGATGGCTTCCATATGGACCTTGCTAGTTTGTTTGCTTCCTGTCCAGGGCCATGGATGTGCTTCAGTACTGGTTAGGACGGGTTTTGGGGCTTTAACAGTAACTCAGCCTATCTAGTCAGGCTTTAGTCTGTCTTCTGGATGAAAGCGCTATTTGGGGCATTAATTGTGAAAGTAAATATTTTGAGTTTTTTATTTTTAAAAGAGTTTGCTTCAGTTTAGTAATTTGTAGGTTTCAGGTCGATAGTAAAAAACCGCAATTGCTGCTTACAGGGAGCAAAGGGGAACTGATTAAGCTTGTTGAGACATCAATAGGTTATATTGCTTTTTTGTGTATGCTGAGTTCTGCTTGTATTTTCTGTTATATGCTCAAACTTTTTATAAGTGAGCTTTGAAATAATTGTGTGTAAGTTGGGATAAATGTTGTACTACATGTTAGGCAGTTCAAGTTAGTACGAAAATAAGGTAGGTGTTAATTGCCAAGAATTCACGTGATGTGTCTAAATTTCTAGAACATGGTTCAGACTATTACAGCAAACTCCAGTTAGATGCAATCTGTTTATGAAAAATAGAATGTACTTAAGAATTTGCAGGGGAGGGAAAAAAAACCTGTTAAGGACTTTAAAAAATTTATTTGAAATACGTTAAAATGAATGACCATTTATAGCGCTTTCTGTCTGGCCTTGTATAAAGCAGATATTAAAAACAATCCAGAAATTATTTCTGTTAAATACTCTCTACTGACATGTTTGATCTCTTTTTATTAACTTTCTCCAGTTCTTAGTTAATTTTTCTTAGGACCTACAGGTTGTTAGACTAGCAGCACAAATCTAAATACTTGTATAAATACTTCTGTGCTTGCATTAAAAAGTTGATGTGTAGATCGCATTAAATCAGTATCTCTCTTTTAAAAAGTTTAATGCAATTCCCACTGGGGAGAGAACCCACTCTACAGCTGCAGAGTTCTATATCATATTTCTTTTTATTAAATTGTGCAAGTGGTAGAACAGTATTCTTCTAAGCTCAGATGTTTGAAGTTGTATGAGAACCACAGACAATTTAACAGATTTTTAGTGCAGCGAGACACATAGATGGTAGTATTCTACTGAGCAACTCAAAATTATCTGTAATAATTCTGTAAAATATTACAAGCACACTATTAAGATTGACTACTTGGGCTATTACAAAATGAATCCTACCACTGCTGCAGCCATTACAGAACCTTTTGTAGATGTATGGTGAGGGAGTAGGGAAGGGTGTTTGGAAGAAATTTGAGAGGTTGCTGTGGTAGAATCTTTTTCTTTGGGGGACTGTGAGAAAATCTGCCTTCAATATAAGCATTGACAAGAACAGTTATGAAACAAACATTACCAGGATCAAACAAGGCTCATCTGGACCATAAAAGAATTTAGGAATAAAATAGAAAAAGTACACTGTATGTGAGTCTCACCCTTTGTTTAAAACTGTGTTTAATTTGTGTCACAGCTGCCAGTCCTCAATTTGAAATAAATGTTTGGAGAAATCTAGAAAAATCGAAGTATTCTGACCTGATGACTATATAGGCAAAACCTTTGGAACTGAGATGTTCAATAGATAAATACAATAACCACACAAACTTTTCTGCTTAAGAGAAGTCAGGCCTTACAAACTCAGTACCTTCACAGGAGAAGGAAGAAAGCACATGCAGGCAAGGGAGGGGATGAAAGGGTCCAAAGAAGAGCAACGAGGCTGGTGAAGGGACTTGAACACAAGTCCTGTGAGGAGAGACCAAGGGAGCTGGGATTGTTTAGCCTGGAGGAGACTCAGAGGAGACCTCATCACTCTCTACAACTCCCTGAAAGGAGGTTGTAGCCAAGTGGGGGTTGGTCTCTTCTCCCAGGCAGCTATCAGTAAGACAAGAGGGCATGATCTTAAGCTCTGCCAGGGGAGGTTTAGGTTGGATATTAGGAAGAAATTCTTTACAGAGAAGGTAATCAGGCATCAGAATGGGCTGCCCAGGGAGGTGGTGGATTCTCCATCCCTGGAAGTTTTTAAGATGAGACTGGATGTGCCATGGTCTAGTAACAGATGAGACTTAGTGCCATGGTCTAGTAACCACGGTGGTAGTGGATCAAGGGTTGGACTTGATGATCTCAGAGGTCCTTTCCAACCCATCTGATTCTATGATTTTATGATTCTATGAATAAAGATCTGCAGAGGGAGAGGATGAATGAGGACTAATCTTTGACTTCCTTACAACAGAAGGAGTATGGGGCATCAAAGGTAGTAGGTGATGGATTCAGAGCAAGCAAGAAGAGAGGGGAATCACACTGCAAAGTTCTTTATTATTGGATGTTATAGTTGCTAAACGCTTACTCAGCTAAGGGAGGAACCTGGATAAATTTGTAGAACTGAAGTCCCTGAGAGTTGCAAAATATATAAAGCTGCCTCTGGCTCAAGAGATCTGAGTTACAAAGTTTTGGAAACTAGAGAGATATTTGAGAAATATCCCTGTGTGCTTTCCTTGTTCTGTCACCTTAAGGTGTTAGTGTTTCTCTGCTGTCAGTTGGGATACTGGGCTAAACTTTTGATTTTGTCTGGACGTTATCTTCATTAAAGTTACACGTATGAGAATAACAACTTTATGATGTTGTTTTGCTTAGATGTATAAAGTATACAGATATTGATAGCAATAAAGGAAAAAGTGTTCTGTGCAAAAACATTATCTGATTTGAGGCGCAAAGATTTCTGGTAATTTTGTACTGGAGGTGTTTGTATCTTATTTCTTAATGTTTCATGGGACTGTCATAGCCTGGCTCTGCCACTTCCCTTTAATGCTGATCTTTCCTTCTGGCTGACCAGGGTTGGAGATCAAATGTTCATCTGCACACATGTCCTAATATGCTAAAAGAACACATTTGGGCAGGAGGACTCTTTTGAGCCTTAGCAGCTGCGGGATGAAGACTGGAAAAATAATTATATGAAGAAAGTTTGTGAATTTTGACTGTACTGTTTTCATTTAATATTAGAAGTTTAAAATAATTCTGTTGCCTTTTTGAATGAATATCCCCCATAAAGAACATCTCTTCACTAAAAGAAAAGTGGAGTTAGGAGAGGTGGGGTGCATCTGAGTAAGTGCATAATGATCGTTGGCACTGATAATTTGAGATTGAAATGCTGCTAGGTCCAAATTGTTTTGGTAAAACTTGAACCTGTTGCCACTTGAAAATCCAGTTAGCTGCACATTTGGAATTATTTAAGGAATATTCTTATGTGTTTCTTCTTTACCATTTAATGAGCAAGGTCAAGCAAGTAGTTTCAGATCATTCTAACTTATGTTCAAAGTCAAGTTTCTGCCACCTTTAATTGAAAATTACTTTTTTTTTTCATATTGAATTTGCAATTCTGGAGAGGTTAGCAAATACAAAGAGCTGTTTTTAAAAACAAGAGCTGTGTTCTAAAAGCATTACAGGTTTTCTTATTTGCATAACATTAAAATGTATGTGGGAGGGTGCTAAATACATGCTGCAAAATACATGAAGTGAAGGTTCATGGTGTGCCACTGTTTTTGAAAGACAAAGTACATAATTTCTCTCAAGATAGTTAACAATTTTAACCTTTTAAGTGCAGTGAAGGTTAAATTGCTGTGGGAGGTCTGCAGTCAGGTTATAACATTTGTAGTTCACAAGAACAATAATAATAGGACCTTTCTGCAGAATAAGGCTGTAAATAAAAGAATAATAGTACTTGAATAAAAAAAAAATTGAATGATATGCAGTTGGTAAGACTAAACCATGTTTAATAGGATCATTGTCTGTTTTGTTTACTTGCAGAATCCAACAGCTGTTTGAAGAGATATTAGGCAATAGCAGGCAATTGAAATGGCTGTCTTGTGGGTTAATGCTGCAAATAGTAACTCCCACATCACTGTCCTCCTTATCAAACCCCATAGCCAACACCATGGAACATCTGAGCTTATTGGACAACCACATCCCTGGTAATACCACTCTTATCACTGCGGTTGAATTGGAGCGCTTTGTGAACCTGCGTTCGCTCGCTTTGGATTTCTGTGATTTTACAGCTGAAATGGCAAGAGTCCTGGCTGACAGCAACCATGTGCCTTTGCATCGACTGTCTCTCCTGGTCCACAGTGTTTCCATAATGCACAAGTCATTGGACAATATGCCAAAAGATGAGAATTGGCAGGCGCTGACTCGCAACAGCACTAATCTTCGGGTCTATATAATGGCTTTTGATGTCAAGAGTGATGATATGTTAAGGATTCTTAAGCCCAGTATCCCCCTAGAGAGGATTCACTTTGACAGCTATGTCACTTGTGTTTCAGGGGCTGTTGTTGACCTCATATCCAGGCAGTATGACAAGTTCCTCACTCATTTTATACTAATGAATGATGTGGTAGATATGTCTGCCTTCCCAGATCTTAGTGACAACCGGAATGAAGATCCACTTGTCTTATTAGCCTGGAGGTGCACAAGACTGTCTCTCCTAGCTGTTCATGGTAGGTAATGCCTTGCACAGGTATAGTATGTGACTTTTTAAATGCTTACAACACTTCAGCCTTTCTAATCATAGTGTATTTTAGTGCAGTGGTATTCTAAAGTCTGCTGCAGAGTTACTGTACATGCTGTCGTTGAAGGTGTTTTATTTTATGAGTTTTAAACATGTAGCTTTCTACTTGTATTTAGAAGTCACACAGAATTTTATTAGAGTTCTCACAGAAATGAGGATAACGAAGATCTGAGCATTCCAGGAGGCTTATCCTAGAAGTGGTCTGCACTGTGCGAGTTCCACTAAGTGACTGGTTATGTGAATGTAAACACTGAAAACATTTGCTGTTTTACTATGAGCTCCTATACTGGCAGGATTAGATGATTTTGCTTCTTGTTGATAAATAACATGGGTTAAGTGCCCCAAAGCTGAGGGGAAGAAGTTTCTTACCAGTTTGGTAAGACTTTACCAGCAGATGAAGGCTAAAAAAATGTAATGTGGAGGAGGTTGCCTCACTGACTACACTGGTTTCACCAGTAATACCAGAGATAGGTTTATCCCACCTATTTATTTGCCATATAATTGCAAATAAATTTTAAAAAGTGTGCACTTGTATTTAGCTCTGTCATCAATACAACACTTGCTAGAAGTTGCAAGCAGTTTGGCAAATTTTAAGGCACCTGAAACTGAAATAATGCAGAATAATGCTTTTTGTTTGTGCTGGAATCAGTTTACCAAGACAAAGTTTGCTGATGCATGGAGGAGTTAAGTGATGACTGTTACTGTGTTGCATGAGAATGAATGTGTTTCTTCAGACTGCTTTGGGGAGTTAATCTCCAGTCATTCAGCACAAACAAGAGAGACCTTCAGCAGAGGGAGATGTAGATTCATATTTCCATTGTTTGAAGTCAGAAGAAGTTCCTGCTGTATTTGCTCTTTTTTTTTTGGTCTTCTACTGAAAAATCATTGCAGGGTGGTGGGGAGTGGGGAAGGATGATCAGTTCAGCTCTCTCTCCTTTATAGTTTCCAGGAGTGACAGATTTTGGATACTGGTACACAACCATACCACTCTGTATGTGGATTTCAGTAGTTTCTTTTAACATTTGTATACTACTTTGGGACCTTTTTTTTTAAAAAAATATTTGCTACCTTAAATTATCCTCCTGCTGTGGGGATGTCCTCTCATATATTATCTAACTTTAAAAGCTTGTAAAACATGTAAACATAAGCTAGTGTAAATACCATTTAATATCAGCATATGTCTATTCAGTAGAAGGTATTAGTCTGTGCAGAGCATTGGGAAAGCAAACATCTTTGATGGTTCTGTCTAGCAAATGGTTGTTGCTACATCTTTCTTTGGAGAGATGCTGTGTCTGCCAGGGGGAGAGAAGGGCCAAATATCACCTTGCTGTTATGTTTGGATCCAAATTCTTTACCCTTTTTTTCCCCCCTCCTTGCAGCAGAAGCTAGCTAAGCTGCTTATAAATGCCCCCTGATCTTTTCTAAGCTGTGAATATGACTCCTCTAGTACTAGAGCATGAACGTCTTTCTTTGAGAGTAGCAACTGTAGGAGGAACACTACTAGGAAGAAATATCTGACATGCTGTGATGCCTCAGTACAGCATCTTAGCCTCATGCTTGGGTTTTCTGGGGTTTACTATATAATGTTTTCTGGCTCTGCTTGTCATATTATACTGTCAAGCTTCCTTCAGGAAAAGATGATGGTTTTGACCAAGGTGCCATAATTCACTTTTAAGTGCTCAGGTTTCTTCTCTGGTCTCCTGAAGTGGTTGTTCTTCAGTTTCCAAACTTCTCAGACTTTCTGTGTGTATGCGTGTGTTCCCTCTTTTGGTATTAGTTTGCTCTGGAAATAGCTTTGATTTACATCTAGTTTTGGCTGCCACTGACCAAAAGAGGAAGGGAAAACATATGCTTAGGGACACTTTTTTCCTGAGTGCCTCCAGATTTTCTTTTGTGGGAAGTCATACTGTCTTTCCACCAACGTAGCATGTTCAGAAGCAGAGGAAAGCAGACTGAAGGATTTTAAATACATTCTTGCAGAATGAAGAAAGGATGTAAAGAGTCTGTGGTCATTTGGGATGGGATAAGGACAGTGGGATACTCATATGATCTGGCACTGTGTAAGAAACTTGGTACATCAGTGGGAATAGAAGCCTTTTTTTGTCTTCCTCCTCAACGGAAGGACACTTCATGTGGGCTTTTATGACTTTGTGTTGTAAACATACTAATTAAATTTTATTCTGTCCATAAGCAATGCTGAATTTGAAATTTTTGCTAGGAAGAATAAATTATAGTGTGCTTATGGTGAATTTGTTGTTCAGTGATACCAGTAGTGAAGTGATCATTTCCTGTTACCTCTGAATACTTAGCTGGACAGAGACTTTTTGGCAGCTGGAGGTCACTAGGAAATTTCAGGCAAAACTTTTGAAAGTTAATTTAAAACAAAGTTAAGTTGAGAATAAGATAGTTGTTCGGTGCATAGAGGATCTCACCATGAAAGGTTATAGCAAAAGCCATATACCTGACCACCACGTGGTAAAGGGGACTTAGTCTGAAGGTTTTTTTCCCTTTATTCTTGCACTTTTTTTCAAGAATTTTGTTGCTAAGTTCCTTTATGATCAAGGTAACTGGAAGGTTGTGATTGCCTTCATGTCCTGATAGGAGAGTGTCATCACACAGGGGGGAGTTTTCCATTGAGTTTAATGTCCCTATTAAGGAAGGGACATTAAATTAAGCTGCTTGTTGACAACTTCATCTGGACAGTTGTGTTGAAGGTGAAGTATCAAGCATATGAAAATCGTGGGAATTCATGCATTCCTAATGGTTAATATACCAGGAATAAGGCATATAGATGTGTGCAGGCTTCTTTGTTGAAAACCTACCCTAAGTGACATAGTTAAAGAATGAAGAAAACTGATGAAATAATAAAGAGAAATTTTCATTCTGGTTTCTTTTACTTTTCTCTATTGTGTCTCTGTAACTATGTCTCATTTTGATACATTTTGATGTAGAGCATGTTAGCTGCATTGTTGGAAGACCAACCCACAGTTAGCTTTTACTTCTCAGCAGCTTAGTTTTCCCAGTTCAAATATTGTGCAGACTGCAGCTTTACTTGGAATCTAAGTGGGCATCTCACCAAGAAGCTTAGCACCTGCAAGAATGATGATAGAGGCAGAAATGAGCCTTTCCTTTTGCAGTGGAAGGACTGATTTGGCAGAGCTCCCCAAAAGGGAAGTTCCTAGACTGACTGACTGTTGTTTGCATCTGAATAAGGAGGAGCTCAGCTTTTGCCTTAGCCAGGGCACAGAAAGCTATTAGGTAACTGGGGAGTAGGAATTTTTAAAGAGGGATGCCAATATGTAAGGTGAAGAGAGTGAAGCTTTGTAATTATGTTTAATCTCAGACAGAAAAACAAGATATATGTAGATTATATATACTGCTGTGGCCTGGAGAGGCTTCTGGTTTGTGTGTGTGTTAGTTTTTTGTTTGTTTGGTGGTATTTTTTTTTTAACTCTACCTCTAATGCAACAAAAGCAAACTTCAGGGTTTTTTTCTACCATACACAGAGTTTTTTAAAGCAGTCCTTTTATGCATTGACTTAAAATAATTGATTACTCCCTTTTTTCATTCTATTTATACTACAAAGTAGATCACAGAAGGTTTGAAATAGTATATATAACTTGAAGTAGTCCACTGTTTTGCAAGTGGAGAAAAAAATAGATCTAGAAAAGCTTGGTCAAAGTATCTGAAATATTTTTATACTTTCTTATTCCGAGTATAAAATGAGGCTTTACCACTTGCAATCAAAAAATCCCCCACCGTGCCCTAGGGAGATTCTGCCAGATGGAAGGTGACAAAATAGATTGGGAAGGATGTTAAGATGGTCAGATATTAAGTTTTACAGTAAGAAAACGCCTTGTAGCAAAATGACAGAGTGACTTTGTTTTTCTTTCACCCTAGGTTACACTGTTTGGGCTCATAATCTTATAGCAATTGCTCGTCTTCGTGGCTCTGACCTGAAAGTACTGGAAGTCACAGAAGAAAGCATCGATTTCGACCAAGGAGAACTGGCTGATCAGGATGTGGATCCAGTACACAATTTCATTGAGCAAGTATCTCTCGGATTGGGTCGGCCTTGGCATGCTGTCATGGACATTGAGCTGCTCAGTGTCTTCACTGAGCCAACCCGTCACTTTTACAGAGAGATGCAGAGCTTCAGTGAAGGCATTTAGCTCCTTATTTACAATTCCTGTGGTTACATATGCAAGTAGGGTCCTATTATGTTTTTTCGGTAGTGTGAATTAACCCCTTTTGTGCTGTGTTTAATCAGTATTAGCTATATAGAATTATATATGTGTATTCTACTTCTTGATCAAAGAACGTAGTCGGGTATTGGTTTAGAAGCTGAAAGTGGCAGTGTTTAGGGTTTTCACGGTTAATGGACTTGTCTACCAAACCTTAAGAGATACAGCCAAAGGCTGTCTGAGGTTGCCGGCTAACTTTACTTTACTTGAGTAACTGCATTTTGAATTATTTTGCTATTGGAGTCCTGTGCTTGGGAGCCAACTGTTTTTAATACCCATATTCATAGTCAAGTGGATTTCTATGCTGTCATTGTGTGCTTAATCCAGTAGCATGCTGCTTAATAGGCTTAAAGGACGAGAAGTCTCTCCAGGGCTGTTCACTCTAAGACTCTTACCTTGCTTTATTTCACGTGCGGATTCTGAAGCATGACTTAACTCCATTCTCAGCTTTCCTTAGCTGTTAAGCGGCGGTGTGAAACACTAGTGTTCAGGTACCTGCACTTACAGATTCACTCCATAAGCTGTAGTCTTTTGGATTCTTTGCAAACTCCTCCTTATTTCTTCTCATGTTCTGTCATCTTCCTTAAAAGTTAGCTTTGGGCCAAAGTTTAAAAGGAAAAAGCAAGAATGTGCACTCCGATGAGGTAAACACATAACAGTGAAGACTTCAATACAAAGGTCTACACCCGCAAACAAACATTAGTCGTGAAATCCCTAACAACCAAGTCACTGGATTTTCTCTGTCAGCGCCTGTGTCAGCTGCCAAAGAATAGAATAAAAACGAAGAAGTGCCCACATGCTGGCAGGGGCAGGCCAACTTTTGGCCAGCCAGATACTGCTAGATTGTAATATATAAGGTCGAATTTCGACCTGTGGTACACAGCTGTGCTGTGGCTCAGTCAGCAACCTCAGAACTCTTAACAAACATGCACCTGTTTCACTGTGAATAGTGAATGTAAAGGAAGGAAAGGAAATAAATACAAAGCTTGTTCTATCACAGGTATGAGCTGCTATGATGCATGAAGAACATTCCATGAAGTATGTTTTAAAATCTTGTTATATCTGAGAGGCTTTAGAAGCCGATTTAACTGTTTCAGGGCAACCGCGGTACAGACGTGGTCTCTGTGAGACTTCCACCTGACCCCAGTTTTAAGTGGTACGAATGTTGTGCATTTAATGTTTAAAGGACAGTCTGCAATAATAAAGTAAGTGGCCAACGTGGGTGCCCAGCAGTGCTGAGACCTGGCTGCTATATTGTAAGCTTTGGAAAACACAATTTATGCAACAGATGTCCAGATATGATTCTATTTATGGAAAAAGTTTATATGTGTTTTACAAATGGTTTTACCATCTTATATTAAAATGACCTTTTGACAGGTGTGCGCTGTTTTGTCTCCAGTGAGCACATACCATGCGGATTTTATATGTACATCAGTAGAGTGAATCCACTGGCACAGTGTGTGTATATGCCAGATGTGGTGAGATTTTATCTTACAAATGTGATCAGATTAAAAAAAACTCCTGACAGAAAATGTAAGGAAACCAGCTGAATGTTTGAATTGATGACTGATGTTGTATGGTTTATGTTAAATGTTATATTCTTTTAATCAATGAATAAAGCATTAAAAATTGATCGCTGTATAAAATATTTTATTGTTGTCAGCATGAAGATTTTTAGAATTAAAACGCAACATCATTCATAAGCTGTGTGTAACTGGTAGCTCCCGTTGTGTTCAGGTCAGCAGAAGAATCTAAAATAAGTCATACAGTAATTTTTTTTTTTTAAATTTGGCTGAATTTTGTCAACAATTTTTGGGGTGATGGAGGAAGGGGAAGGATGCTTTGCTAAAGATCAGACCAGTTAGCACAAACAGTATATCATTATATGACCTATTAGACTGATACAATAAACTGTGGATTGTAGAATATAGAAGATTATTTTTGGGAAATTACTGCATCCATTGCAATTGCTTAAATCAAAACCTAATGTGCTCAAGAAAAATGTGTAGTACTTCTTTGGTGTCCCACTATTAAATAGATTATGAATACCTGCAATGCTTCAGTTTGACATTTTATCCGTACTCAGAGTACGCAGCTGTGCATTCTGAATGAAAACTGCAGATGTCTGGTCAGCTGTGGAAGAGCTGCTGTGCCCTGCAGTGGCTGACTGTGCTGTGAGACTTGTCAGAGTGACTGTTCCATGTGTGCGTGCCAAGCACGGACTTCATTCGAGCTCCTGAACTTCATTTTATGATAGTCCAAACTGCTGCCAAGTGTGAGAGTTGCACTGCTTGTTGTTCAAGCAGTCTCCCAGATCTTCCAGATTTGGTAAGCAAGATCATTTACCAACATTCTGAAGAGATGCTGTGGGTAATAAAGATAAGGCAAATACAGCTTTTCATATTCTAGTAAAGTGAAATAAAGGGACTTGGTCTCAATGCCTTTCAGGACTCAGTCTCAGGAGTGAGGTTTATGTAGCAGTTAAGTCTGGTAGTGATTGCTCAGCAACATCTGAACCTGAAGTTTGGTCGCAAAGGGTTCAAGATTTCTGGCTTTTTCTGTGCAACTTCCTGAAGCAAATCGAGCAAATGCTGCGTTCTCTGGTTTAAACATAGATGCAGGATGCTGATTTTCTCTCTGTAAGCTACTGCATTTTATGGGTAACTGCCTTACGAACTGGAGTTGGAAGTAACCCATTTGCCTTTCCATTATATAAACAAGGTTTTTTCTCTATTCAGTCTAACCTATTTTATGCTTTGTTTTAATTAACTTAATCTTGAAAGATAAGACGAACAGGAGAAGCAGCTCATCCTACTATGGGAGAGATATGCAGCCGTTTCTCTTACTGCAGTTACAGCCAGAATGTTTAATATCAGCTGTTATCAATGGGTGTCCTTTGTTAGTGCTCCCGGTCTGATTTTTTTCATACACTCTGAAGTCTACTCACTGGTTTTGGCTTGTGTTCCAGGGAAGAAGTCAATGTCCTGACATTGATAAGTACAGGGAGTCCAGTAAGGCAGGAGTGTGTGGTGAAAGCCACACCTTGAGCAGTGGTTGGAGAAAAGCACCTCTGATTGTTCTCTTGTCTTAGGTTTGTTGTCTGCCTGTGTTTTCAGCAGTAATCTGTATTAGTGATACCAGGATGAAGGGATTCAAGATGAAGCAATCTGAAATCAAATGTTAGGAAACTAAGATGCTCCTAATATGGAAAGTGCATTTGCATTTGGAGTGAGACCTTACAAACTGTGAAATTACTTTGAGCTTGCATAATCCCAGATGGGATTTTACTTCTGTTGTTTTTTCCTGAAGAGATGGCACTGTCAGGTTAGTCTTCTGTATTCTAGATTTAGCTGCAGAAACTTGGAACACAAGCCCTCATCTAAAAGTGGGTTCCTTTTTCTTTTGAGGGTGGGGGGGAAAAGGGACTTCCCCACATTCACTTCTGTGTGACCCTTCTCTCTTAAACATACCTAAATACATCTTAGGGGATACCATCTACCTGCTTCCTATTGCATAAACCTGAGCTTGTTTTCAAATTTGCAAATAAAATTTTGGGCCATTACTGGAGGAGGGAAAAAGTCTGAAATTCTCTCTGCAGGATGATCTAATTCATGCTTGTCCTGCATTATCTTAGTCTAGCTATCTTTTGTTTTGCCTGCAGCTTCCAGTACCATTGTGGGCAGAGTAGATTGTTTTGGTGGAGGAAGAACTGTTTTTTCAAAGAGTTAACTTGGTTACAAGCTAGAACAAATATTTAACCCGTACAGAGAAAATACTGTATTTTCTCAGAAAACATAGGTACATTCCCAAAGAGTTTTTGCAGCCCTTCAGCTGAGCTGGGGAAACAATAAAAAAGGGCTATGGTAGTGTTATCGGCCCAGGACTGTGCTATCCATTGGTTCTCTGTGCAGGTGTAAGGCTGTAGTTGGCAGTTCTGGTTGTTCCTAGGGCTGATGACAAGGATAAGGGTGAAACCCAGTAATTCCCTTTAGAATCTTGGTGAAGTCTTTCAGGCAAACTTAGAGCAACAACTAATTGGATGAAAGTGATGCAATAGTCAAAAAGAGTTAATTTGACCTGGATGATGCTTTAAAATATCTGTTGTCAGAACTTGTCATTGTACAAAGGCTAATCTAAATGCCTTTGAGGGCTAAAGGAGAAAGGAGAATAAAGAGACTGCAGGAATGAGCCATGGAAGAGTTCTGCCGCTGAAAGAAGCCAAGGTGGGAATAATGGTAAGAGCAGGAGTACTGAGCTGCAAAAGAAGCTCCCTTGGCAGACTTGACCAAAGCAATTACAAAAAAAGTAGACTGGAGGTTTTTTGGTAACTTCTAATTATGGGGTGTGGTGGCTGCATTTGTATTAAAGGCTGAAACCATGTGTTGTGTGTGTGCATGCAAAGAAGGGGGACTGGTGGTTGAACTGCTGCTGGGGGGGGATCTTGCTAAAAACAGTTTGCTTATTTATCTTAAAAGGTCCTTTAGCAAATGACTGCATTGAGTCCTTACATTGTTTTCAAGTTGAAACCAAGCTGTCAGAACAGCCAGCCAGCACGGCTTCTACCAGAAGTTTTTAGATTGTTGAGGTGTCGGTAAAGACAGAGCTTGGCTCTGTCTGGAGCCAGCACAGCCCTGGACAGCCTGTGCCCTGGCTGCAGCTAAGGCACTGTGCCTCTTGTGACAGCCATTCCTGCAAGGGACACAGCAAATGGGAACCTCACAGGAAGGCGTGAGTGAGATAACACACCAAATGCTTTTATAGACTCAAACTTACAAACGCTGCAGTTTGCCACTTCCTTCTTCTACTTTTTAATGCTGCTTTTGTCCTGCCCAGCTTCCCAAACACTAGTGTTAAAATCTGAAGCCTAATAAACTGAATTCATGTTGAGACAGTAAAAAAAAAACCAACCAGCTTTAGTTTAGTTTGCTGCAGACATATGTCTTCAAAGGCCAGGGTCAGGTGGTGCTGGAGCATCTCATAGCTATGACTCCTTCCTCCAGGTCATAAAAACCTCTTGTACACATCTTCAATAAAACACTACCCCACTCCAGCTTTTGAGGAGTGATGGGAGAGTTGCTCAGCATTTCCAGTTCCCCTTCCCTCCCAATGTCATGGTAGGACAACTGCCATTTTGTAAAGCTCCGACAGCTGAAAGATCACCTACGAGGTCATTAACAGAGACTGTAGTGGAGCGCTATGGTGATTCCTCTTCCCCTACTTCTATTATACCACAGTAACAATGACGTTGCTTTCATTTTCTGTAGATTTTTATTAACTGTTTCCATTTGTTTTCACATCCTAGTCATAAAGCAGCAAGCACCACTTTTGGCATGCAGAGAGATTCCCTGTACAGGTCAACAAGGACAGAGCAGCTGGACTTTTACAATATGGTTCACATGATTTAATTTTATACACCTCTGAAGAGATTACTCAAGTTAGAAATACTTAATTTAAAATGACTATTGTACAGTGGAAATCACTTATTCACAATATTCATAGTTATTTCATTCTTTATTTACAATGTACTATCCTGAGAATTTTCTCTATTAAGCTTCAATTTGAGCAAAGTAGTTTATATATACCTAAGTAACAATAGTTACTTAACATAAGGAAAATGCCATTAGGAGAGCACAGAAAGGGTTCAGCACATTCCCCAAATGGCCATCAAGTCTCCTGCTGTGGTTCTGGTTGGTCTACAGCTGATGGATTTGACTGAGGTGGTTCAATTCTATTTTCAGGAGGAGGTGGTGGAGGCAAAAATCCAGGTCGTTGAGGTGGATAGTGAGGATAAGGTCTCATTGGAAATGGATTTCTTACTGTGAAAGAATCAGAGTAGTCCAGTTAATATTAATCACAACAGTAAACACGCAGCTGCTTCTCTTGCTCCACATCTTCCTGCTCAGCTAGGCCTACCTAGATAGAAGTCACGTGTTACACTCTGAAGAGACAGAGGTACCAGGAAGGAGGAGACAAAACAATCACTTTTCTCAGTAGTTACCCCCAAGAGACTCACAGTAGCAGCCAGTCACTGCCTGCTAACGGGCTGCTCCTGCCAGCATCCCCTTCAGTCCGTAGCAGCCCTTGCCTGCCACACCTTACAGGTATTTGGAAGATAAATGCCTTAGTTCTTCACAGACTGCTTGGAGAACAGCAGGAGGCAGAAGGAAACGCTGCCATCTGATACTTACATCTTGCTCCACTAATGCAAACTCTAAGGAAAAACAGTTGTTTTTCCCTTTGCACGGACACTAGCACACCTCAGAGTCAGAGGACAAAACTTTAAGATTTATAGATGATGCAACTTCTTAAGAAGAAAAGGATTAAGGTAACCAGCTACTTCTTTTCCCACACCAAAAAAAGAATCCTTTAAATGCTGAACAGTATGTGTGGGTGTATTTTTCAGCCAAAGCTAGTATTTGTAAAAAATCAAGATAACCTGTTGTGAAAAAGGAAGTATACACCACCATGAACCTTAATCAGAAAAGATGTTCCCTGTTAGCTGAATTAAGAAGTAGTATGTCCAAATAAAGATGTACATGTTCACCCAGTGTGGTAACTCATGCTAAGCAACTTGAAGTAAATGCTGGCAAAAGCCACGTACTTGGCAGTGGAGGGCGTGGAAGCCCGAAGTCTCGTACTGGAAAACATTCCCGTGGTCCATACATGCCAGCAGGAGGAGGGGGAGGAAAAGGAGGTCCTCGTCTCATGAAAGGTACTGGTGGTGCTCTAGGATCCACAGGCATCAATGGAGGTCTGACTGGAGGGAAAGGTGGGGGCACAAACCCCGAACTGACAGCTTCACTTTCAGGTACCAGCGACTGATCAGGGACCGAGTTCTGCAACACAGTGAAACCAGGGAAGTTAGCTGAGGGAAAGGGAATGTTTCCAACCCCCTCAGGCCCGCTGTCACGTAGGCTGTGACACTAGCTAAGAGCTAGTTCCAACTCTGCCTTAGCTGCAGCATAATCCTGAGCAAGGCTATCTATGTGCAGTGACCATCAGCTTGACCAGTTTCATCTTTTGGGTTATAATTAATTTTCAGCAGGGGTTATATC